CAGAAATAGAAAATTTACACACTGAACCTTCAGATATATTTTAGGGAATATCCCCCCCCACTCTCTCTCCCTCCCTCCCTCCCTCCCTCCATTTCCCTCTCTCCCCTTGCCTGTGTGTGTGTGTGTGTGTGTGGTATGTGTATGTCAAAGGTCATGTCACCAAAGTGCTATAAACAGTTTTCTATGGCAGAGGCTTCTATGCAAAAGGACTGAGGGACTGAGAGGGTCCTTGCTTTTTCCTCTCCCTGCAGGTGCAGAAGCATTTCTAGGCATTAATCCTGGACGACAGCCTTTTGAAGTCCTGGAGAGCTAACCTCTTGACCAAGCTCATGATGTATAAAATGTACTCATGTTCCTGACTGAAGATCTGACATCTACAGCTCCAGTTCACCTCAAAGAAAATCACAAGGAATGTCTAGTTTTGGTTTGTTGTTGGTCTTTTTTTTTTTTTAACCGTGGCAACAGAGACTACATGAAGTTTACAATTTTAACTGCTGTCTTTATTTGTTTCTTTGTTTACTTACTTATTTTGCGGCGCTTAGGCAATCATGCACATGCCAGGGCATGAATGTGAAGATCGGAGGACAATATGAGAATGTCAGATTCCTCTTTCCAATATGTGGATCCCGGGAATCAAACTCTGGTACCCAGGCTTGGCAGCAAACACCTTTACTCATCAACTTATCTTACAGATCTAGTTTTAATCATTTTTTTCCAGTTTGGAATCTGGGTTTATATTTCTGCTGTCTACATGTGTGGAGTCAGATGACAAACTTATGGGCACCATTTCTTTCCTATCGTGCGGTTCCTGAACATCAAACCCAGGGCAGGCTTAGCAACAAATGCCTGTCTGCTATTTTATGGCTCAATATTCTCTGTCTCTGTGTCTCTGTGTCTCCATGCATCTGTGTCTCTGTCTGTCTCTGTCTCTCTCTCTCTGTTTCAACTTTGTATTGGTTCTTCATGAATGTCGCATCATGCACCACAATCCTACGCATCTCCCCCTCCCTGCATCCCATCCTTCATCCTTGAAGCCTACTTCCCAACAGAGGAAAAAAATCTTTGTGGAAGCGGTAGTGTGTCACAGTGTACCCTTTTGTCCACACTTCTTTCTTTGCACGTGTTCATTGCAATGACTCCTTGGTCTGGTACTAGGCCTCTGGCTTCTGCTAGTCTATCAATACTGGAACCTCAGTGGGACTCCTCCTAGATGTCCTCTTGTTGCCCTGCGTTGTGAGCATCCTGTAGTTTGGGATCTATGGGACCAGCCTCTTCATACACTCCAGCAGTTCACTGATTGGGTTGATGTTAGGGTGGATCAATTCGAAGTCCTGCGCCTGGCCTGAGTGCTATCTGAGCCGATCAGCCTGCCAGTTCTCCTACTTTCATGCTTTCAGGTCCAGCTCATCAACAACCCCCACTACCAGGGCAAACTCTATTCTGCTCCCATGTTAGGGTACAGGGACTGTTCTCTCAAGAGTCGTAGCAGGGGAGGGACATGGCAAATTCTTCTACTCTAAAGACCCAGGGCCAGCTCTCCCGCCTGCCATAAATGGTAAGGGACAGGGGAGGGGAGAAGGATGTGTCTCCCTCATCCATGCCACCACCCAACAGACAAGAGGCAAGGCTAGCTGTCCTACAGTCACACACTCACGGCCAGCTCCTCTGAAATCCTCACATCCAGGGCCAGCTTCATCATACTATTCAGGTGAGGTGCCGAACTGGTTCTCCCAAGAACTGTAGCAGGTGAGGGGCAAGGACAGTTCTCCTGCCCCTCGTGACCCCATCAAGGTCAACTGTTCTGCTTGCAGCCAGTGGCAAGGGCCAAGGGGATGGAAGGGGATCTCTCCCTCGCTGATATCACTGCATGGGAGACAGCTAATAGGGTAGGTCCTCCATGCTCTTATCCTTAGGGTCCTCTCACCAGCAACATCTGCAATGTGTGGAGACTGCCCTACGAAGTACTACAAATGGCTAGTGTCTGGTAAACAGTGCTCCTGCTCTCATGTCCCTCGGGCCAGATCTCCCACGATGCCCAGGTGAAGAGTGGGGCCAGTTCTGCCCAGCCCTCAGACATCAACATGACACAGCCCTGGACATCAGCCCAGACCAGAGACATCTGCCTGGACTTTGATGGTAATAGATGTCTACTGCTGATGTGTCACAGACCCAGATGTGGCCCCTGGTGGCAGCACAGGCCAGGACCCCACCATAGTCTCAGGTGGCATTACCAGCTAACTCACATCAGGAAGCTCCTCAATAGCCTTGAATCTCCAGTTCTGCCTCCCTTCATTGTGCCCACATCCTCCTGTTTCTCTTTCTCTTCCATTTCTCCACCACTTATTTGCTCCTCTTAGTTGTGCTTAGGGGCTATCTGAGTGTCTGGGGTCAGCTCAGGGGTGGTGTCAGGAGTGCTGTGCCACTCTCATGCATTATGGTGTTGTTCAGAAGTCATGTTAGGCATGGTCTACATCCCCAGGCACTCGACCAGTGATAATTTCAGGCTAGCTTCCTATCCAGGCCACATGGTGCTCGTCTGGTGGGCATCTCTGCTTACTCACCTGGCCCAGCCGAGTGGTCCTATGAGAGGGTTGTCTATTTTGGGCCCACTCCAGCCTGGAGCCCTCAGGCCCAGGAAGTTTCTTCTATTTTAGGCTTGCTCCTAGTCCAGGGAGTCATAAGGGCCTGTGTAGCACTGAGTTGGTGGTTTTCTCAGGCTTACTTTTTTCAGGGGATGTGAGGCTACTAAACATTCCTATCTTTATAGGTCAGAACACTAAGCTTTGATATAGCCTCTCTCCTCTCTGCCACCTATGGATGCACGTATGACACAGAAGCCATACCTGCAATACTTCTAGGGACAGGTCATTTTGAAATGTCACATTTACTTGCATTGAATGAGATCATGTTTTGTACAGCCGCTATCACTTATTTCTAGAACTTCTCTTCTGACAGGCTGAAACTCTAGACCCATTAATGAATAATTTCCACAAAAACTTAGCATTTAAGGGGAAAAGGCCATATCATGTAATAATGGTTTTGTGCATGTTATCACACTTATTCAGCACATACTTAGAAAAATCCTATGTTGGTTCACTGTATATCTAGTGGGTGAGAGAGGCTGTGTTTCAATGAAAACATTTCTGTAAGACTCAAAAGTCAGTGACCTGTCTAATGTGGGTATTCAATAAATGATTATAATATGTACATACACACACACACACACACACACCACAAGTATCTTCTAAATTACCTGTGGGTGAAATTTTCCTATCTTTTCTTTAATCACTACACTGTTGCTGGCTTTAAGACCCCATCAAGGCAAAGTTGACATAGATAACATTAACTATCAGGCACCAATTGCTCGTCTACAAAATGGCACCATATGCCTCTTTCATGGGGGTAAAGGGAGAGTGCAGTGACTTCTCTACATGGTTCAAATAAACTCCTGAAATGAAAATTGTCTAACAGAGTTGTAATTCCACTGACAAGACACTCCCCCTTATTTTTGCAGTTCAAAAAAAAAAGTCTAAACATAAGCAAAAGTAGTTTTAAAATTATACCACTTTCTAATTCAAATGCAAAATCATTATTGTTTAAATATTTTGTTTTACTCCACTACAATATAAGTTCCACAAAAGTATGAATTTTTCCTGCTTCGTATATTGTTGTATACCTATAGCACAGACAGGGTTTCTCAGTCTTCTCACCAGATATTTGGAGCAGGAAAGTCCTTTGTTACAGGATACTCTCCTGTGTACTGCAGGGCATTTCTGACCACAACCCACTAGAAGCCAATAGCAACTTCATAGTCATAACATGCTAAGTATTTCAAAATTGTGTCAAGTGTTTTCAAGGTGCAAAACCCCTCCTTCTTGAATATGAATGATCTAAAATAATGCCTGACTCAGGAAAAAAAATGAACAGTAAGCATTTGCTGAATGAAGATAGTAATATCAAATTAATTAGCATGCCTAAAACACACAGAACAGTTCTTGGTGCATGGTAAGTAGTAAAAAAAACATACTGATAACATCAAATATTGTTATTGTGGTTGTTGGTGGTGGTGGTGTTTAATTGTCCCTGTGTCTTTGTCTCCTTCTAGAGTCACCCTTGGAGGCAACCAAACTATTACACTGAGACTTTGGGTTTGCTACAAATTACATTTTAAATGTAATCATTTTATAAAAGCTTCAACACACACACTCACACTTGCAAGTGTTACTGTGTTGAATATCACTGATTCATTAACTTGCATTGCCATGCTAACTTGTTTTCAGAGAGACCTCAGAACACATTGTCCTCTGCTATTTCAATACATGCACATTAATTTCCTATCAGTGTGTGCTATCAGGAAGTCTGTAATCTGGCACCGGTGTTGATTTTTATTCCTGTCTATTCCTGTTGGCTCACGTAAAAATTGTTCGAGCAAGTATTTTATGGTGAGTTGTATCATATGTACATTGATTTAATCTGCCCACATTCAGTTCTATAAGCAGATCCAAAAAAATAGAGAAAAGCATAATTTTTATTCAACATGTGCCCCTCAATGCGAGCCAAGTACCTCATCTGGTGCTCAACTAAAGCAACAGCAATCTGTTCCACCCTAGGGAAACAACTGGCCACAGAAAACTTAGTGAAAAGAGGCAATGCTATCTATGCACGGGACAAATAGTACACATTTTATGACAGATAATGCTGCAGACATATAGTCTTAAAGCTAAATTTAAAAATTAAATCTAAGACGATCTAAGACAACGGGAGGAGCTCTTGTCTTCACATTTCCAGAGGCTTAAAAATAATTAAGATGTCAGAGCTGTCCAAAGAGATACACTGATTCAGTGTATCCCCTCTCGACCGTTTAGAATCCCAGCTCTGACTCTCTCTCTCTCTCTCTCTCTCTCTCTCTCTCTCTCTCTCTCTCTCTCTCTCTCTCTCTCTCTCTGAGTGTGTGTGTGTGTGTGTGTGTGTGTGTGTGTGTTTGTTTGTTTGTTTTGGGTGAGGGTGCTCATGTATTCACATGAGAACACATGTGCAGGCCTTAGTACCCTCAATTCAATTCCACTTTGCTTGAGAATTAATCTCTTGATGTTCAGTACTGTGTACCCAATGTTAACTGGTCTACGAACTCTCGGTATACTCCTGTCTAAATGAAGGATCACTGGGATTAAGGTTTCTTTTTCACTGTATCTAACTTTATAGATCCTCTGGGGATGCTGCCTCCAGTCTTGGTGCTTACAAGCCATGTGTTTTATCCACTGAGTCATCTCCCCACCTCTCCAGATGACTTGTTTATAGAAATTAATGTTCATGCTGCGTGTTTGTGGTGTATGGCTTTGATCCTAGCACTGGAGAGGCAGAGGCAGAGGCAGGAGGATCTCTATGTGATAAAGGCTGGCCTGGTGTACATAGTGAGTTAGAGGCTAGTCAGGGCCACATAGTGGGACTGTCTTAGATAAAGATGAGAGAGAGAGAGAGAGAGAGAGAGAGAGAGAGAGAGAGAAAGGAAGGAAGGGAGGAAGAAAGAAGGAAGGAAGAAAAGAAGGAAGGAAGGAAGAAAGGAAGGAAGGAAGGAAGGAAGGAAGGAAGGAAGGAAAGAACGAGGGAGTGAGGGAAGGAAGGAGAAAAAGAAGTTAATGTTCTTTTCTAAAATTCAAAGTATTGGTAAATGAACTGGCATGGATTTAAAAACAATTCTGTAAAAGAACAAAGAAGAAAACTTGGCACATTTCAAATTCAAAACCTCCAACGAAGTGTTAACAATCAAAGGACTAATGTGTTGTTTAAGGCTAGCCACAGCAAGTGCAATTAAGAACTCAGAGATAAAACAATGTGTTATAGAGAATGATTTTTGGCAAAAGTGTCAAAACCACTTAGTGGGAAACTATTCTCAACAAAGAGTTCTGGGTCATCAAATATTCACATCAGAAAGGGTGAAGTTGGGCCTCCCTCCCCCAAATTAACTCAAAATGGATCAAAGGCATAAATGTAAAACCTAAAACTGCAAAGTTGTTAGAAGAAAACCCAGGAGTAAATCAACACCATGTCAGACCTGGTAATGGATTCTTAGACATGAAGCTAAGATCGCAAGCAAGACATAAAGGCAAGAGACTTCACAAAAGCTAAATCCTTTGTGTTCCAAAGGACACCATTAAAATGTTTCAAAACATATGAAAACATAGAACAGCAGAGAATATTTTACATACGTTGTCTAATAAAGGACTGGAATCCAAAATATATGTTAAACACTCTTAATAACCCATACTAAAAAGATACTCCAGCTTAAAAACAGGCAAATTATCTTTAGCAAAGATACACAAAAGGCCAGTTAATCTATTAAAAGATGCCCAACATCAAAAGTCTTCATGGAAATGCAAATCTAAAACATCTAAGATAATACTTCAAGTTGTGTACTTTGCTACACAGTCTGGGAAATTCTCATGTAATTAAATGTAGAGTTATCACACATTCCAGGAAGAAGACAATTGTAGGTATGTACCAAAAACGTGTCCAATAGAAGCTTGTGTGCAGTGATGTATGCTGGAATTATTCAGAAAAGCCAAGAGATAGAGAAAAAAATGCAAAAGCCCACTGACTGACAAATAGGTAAATAGATGAACAATGTTCATCCTCTATTCATACCACCAAATATTAACAAATACCACAAAACAGTGCGTCCTGCTGCACAAAGGAATGAAGTATTGCTCTATGATATTTGTTTCTAGTTCTCGAAATGCCAAGAATGGGCAAAACCAGAGAGGGAAGAAATAGCTTGTGGAAACTCTGGCTAGAGAGATGGGTAAATGTAGAGATGAAGGTTAAAGAGAAGACTTTTGTTCTGAAAAAAAAAGTACCACAAAATTTCATATTGATGGATGTACATACACATGAATATGTAAGACAGACTCTGATCTTTCAGATGGGAAGATTGTTTTGCATATGAATTATATCTTAATAAAGGAATTTTTTAAAGATAAACCAATGTGATTCACAATATTACCATTCCCAAATCCCAACTCAAATGACCATTTGCAGAGGTTAAATGTATACCAGTGAAGGAGGCAAATCCTTAAATTTGATTGAAATTACCTGATACAGGTCTGTGGCTAATACATTAAGTGGAGAATGACTGAGATAGCTTTCTCTCAAAGCAAGGATGAGGAAGATATGTCTGCTGTAACTGTGTCTTTACCTCATTTCTCTGGAATCCCTGACAAGAATGGTGAGGTAGAGGAAGAGGGCCATTAGGGTACAGCTTGACTAGAAAGGATGAGGCAGTGGGTTTGATTCATGGTCTTGCAAAAAATAAAAGTTCTTAAAGAAGGTAAGAGAAACGGGAAAATGCTATGCCCTTTAGGTAGGTGCAATTAAAAGATTTTTTATGCAAATAATACAATGTGCTAAAACTTTATTAGAACTAAAATATGAGTTTAGAAAGATCATAGGATATAAATTCAATCCACAAAGTCAATACCTATAATGGCAATAGATAATTGAAAAATAAATTTGGAATTTACAGCAGACATTTAGAATTTACAGCTTTTACTCACGAAATTAGTAAGAAATGATCATTTTTACCAACAACATTAAAAACAAAATATTTAGGGTTAATCTAATTTTTTTTTAATTTTATGTGTGCGTGCGTGCGTGTGTGTGTGTGTGTGTGTGTGTGTGTGTGTTAAAAGCTATAAAAACTTTGATGGCATAAACTAAAGGAGAACTGAGTAAGTGACAAAGTGGAGAGAGATTCTGTGCTCATGGATCAAAACTCTCACTAACCTACTGGTTCAACTCAAGTCCAGTCAAATTCCTAACAAGGGGGTTGGTTAAGAGTGCTTGCTATGCGAGCGTAAGGACCTGAGTTC